TGCGGGGCTGGGAGCACACGCGTGCGGGCAGGGCTGTGCCTCCAGCCACCCGCGCTCCTCCCGGTGCCCGGCCGGTCCCGGGTCGTGTCTGCGGGCTTTCCCTGGCTGCGCAGCTGGGAAACTGCTCCCTGCTGCGGTTAGGAACGGGAACGATTTCAAGAGATATTAAAGATAAATAAGCGTGTAATTTTCTTAACCCTTTAATCAGTAATTCCATAGATGCACTCTTCTGATAACCTGGTCGCTGTGCCACCTTCTGAGTCGCTGTGTCTATACATTGTTTATCCTCCTGTGCTGATCCTCACAGCATATACTCTCCCTCTAAGTTGTTTTTTAATTAAAAAAACAAACAAACATGGAATGAAATCAAGGTTTGCAATGTAAGCATCTTCGTATAAGATAACACGAAGTAATAAAATACACACGTTGCAGCTTGCTTAACCAGTTTATGGATGTGCTATTGATAAGTGTGTTTTCATTTTGTTGTCCAAAGGGCGTTGACAACAAGAAGGCAGAATGGAGGGCAGGTGCTGCAGGCGGTTCGTGGTTTGCTCCAAGACGACCATCTATACCTTTCTGCTTGGTGGAGTGTTTATTGCGTTGGGCTCAAGTCGGATCCTTCTGATGAAGTACTCTGCCAATGAAGGTGCAGTTGGACAATAAACATCATGTACCTCAAATAAGAAATAATTTTGGGGAAAACAGATAGCCAGAGTCCTAGATCTCTACCTGCAGAGTTCTTAAACATTCTAATGTATAGACAGTGACATTAATTTCTGGACTGGAAAATTTCTATATGCAGCCACTGGTCTAACATAAAGTGATAACTTGGGTTGCAAGGTGTGTGATCCACATGGAGATTCACCCTTAAAAGATGAGGCAGTTAATTATTTTATAGTTGATTTTTGAAGACGAAATTGTTGTGTAAGCACGATTGATGGTACCTGCCTTGACTAAAGTATTTGTCTCACAACAGGCTTAGGAGAAAAGGTGTTTTGTAGTGGCCGTGCTATAACTGACAAGCATTACTGCTTCTCCTTTTGCAAGTATTAGCAAAATATGCTAACAAAGACAATATGTAGTCCTAGGAAAATGTTGTGTTTTCCTGGAAGCCATTTTGGGGGGGGGGGGTGGCAGGGAAAAGGCATATTGCTGTCTGAGAAAAACATTATGATTAAAAAAAGATAATTTAAAAGGGTGATGTTCTTGACTTCCTCAAAAAAATTCCTCTGTAAACTGAGACCAAATGAGGAAAGGAGGCCATTCAGGAAGTTTTATCTAATAAAAATAGGAATATTTATAGTGGAAGTGCTGACATAACCCTTTTCATTTATGGAAAGTGGCTAAAATTCTGACTGGAGGGGTTAAAATAGTTTCTTGTTCTTACTGTGAATGCAGGAGATGGAATCTGATTGTGTACTCTCTCTGATTTGCTGAATTCTACAGATAACAAATATGATTACCTTCCTACAACAGTGAACATATGTTCTGAAGTAGTAAAACTGGTCCTGTGTGTGATATTGGTACTATGGATGAAGAAAAAAGGTGAGTATCTATGTTTAAAATAACTAATATGTGTTGACTTCCTAAGATTTGCTGTACTTCAAATCCCTTTTTTGTTGTTTGTGTTTTGCTTGGTTTGTTTTGTTTTTTTTAAATTATAGAATCACATGTAGTATGGATTAGGCCTTGCTAGTAAGGAGGAGTTGTCTTCTGTACAGAATTATAACTATACTTCGATAACTCTACTTCATGCTGTATGTAAACTGGGGGTGTTCTTGAGTTGCGTGTGTGGCAGCTAAAATGGGGACAGGTAAATTGAAACAGAACTTTTAAGGAAGATACAGTCTAACGTTTTCAGAATTTTAACACAGTATCATGCTAGGATAATAGCCCCCTCACTGTGAACTCGTGGCTGAACAGAAGCTTATAAATTGCATGAACTCAAGGACTGGCCTCACATTCTGTTGTTTTGACTACTTTTATTTGAAAGCACCACTACCCTCCACTGAAGGGGGGCTTTGTGTGTGTGTAGTGGTATTTGCATCAGAAGCAACTTAGCAATGTTATCATTCAAAGCAGCTTTTTTTGTGAAGTCAAATCATGGATCTTCTGTTCAGGAGAAGCCGTGTCAGGCTCTGCTGGCTACTGGTGGTGTATTGCAGGTGATTTTTCTTTTTTCTTTCTTGATTTTCTGTTCTGATGTAAAAAGGATGAGGTTAAATTCCTAGCATTTCAAAATGGTAGAGGACAGACATTTAAATTGGAATAAGGTGTCAGGCACTGGAGACTTATTTTAAATTGAACTGCTAGTCCATTTTCCGTGTCACGGTAATGGTTCTGGTAAGCTGATAAAATTTTTACCTCCACAGATATATCTAAGGTAGTATGTTCAATCAGTGTTTGCCATCATTTGCTACTGCTGAATATGTTTTCTGGTTTTCTTCCTTTTTTCCCCCCTTGTTTTTTTATTATTTTTTTTTTTCCCAGATGCCTGAGTTTTGCTGATCTAATGCATTGGTCATTCAGAAGAGGATTAGATAACATTGTGTAGTCTTCAATCTGTGCTAACAAAGTATTTCTGTCACCAACTCCAGTCTAAAGTTTATCACAGTCTTCCTTCTACAATATGTGTTCTGCATACCTAAATAAATATTATTCTTTGTGCCCTGTCCTTTACTTCTTCCTGAGTGTTCTCTTTTTACCTAGATCCCTGGAGGTGTTTAAAGGCGTGTACATGTGCTGTTTAAGGACATGGTTTAGTGGTGGACTTGGCAGTGCTAGGTTAACAGTTGGATGTGATGATCTTTAAGGTCCTTTCCAACCAAAACAGTTCTGTGATTTTATGTGCTACAGATACTGAGTTTTGGTTTATTTTGTATTTCTGATATTACTGGCTGCCCTTTTGGTGCTACATGAGCAGATCCAGTGTCTGTGTTACTGTTTCAGTTCTAGATTTTATTTATAATAATCAGAAAATCACACCCAGTTAATGACGTTGCTGTTGTGTGGGGACTTTCAGGTGTTTTTTGGCCTGCAGTGAAGGGCTCGTAAGTGAATTTCTGCTCCCAGTGGACAAATGGTGTGATGGGGGTAAAGGTTCCTTGATATTTTCTCTGCTGAAGCAAGAAGGTGAATTCTTGTAGACATAGCATTGTTGCTCTAGCCATCTGTTCTGCACTGGGTTTGTCCTCTGTGTTGCCAGAGGCCTGTGCTACCTTAGTTTTTTCAGTTCAACAGTGTTCTGAAAACAAGTGTGTTACCTATTTTGTTATAAGGGCTTTTGATAATAAGATGTCTTTCTTACTGATTTCTTTTCCTTTCAGAGGGTTGTTTGGATCATCCCTTTGAATGTCTTTCCTGGAAGAATTTTTTTAATTCCATGAAATGGTCCATTCCCGCCTTTCTTTACTTTTTGGATAACTTGATTGTCTTCTACGTACTCTCCTACCTCCAGCCAGTAAGTATACGTATACTGAATAAAGTATCTCCCAACATCTTACTGGTGGGGAACATGCTCTTGGACTATCTACAGTTGTAACACTGGCAAGGCAAGATTTGCAGATAAAAGAATGACCTCAGCCAGACTTTCGCATTCTCTTGCCCACTGATCAGTGTTGTGTAGCTCTCAGCAGAGGAGAGTCTCTGTGTATTTTCTCCATCCAATATGATCTAGAAATAGACTGAATTGCTTAAGTACTAGGCAGGTTTTCAGTGCTTTCCCACCTTTGGTGTCTTTAACTGTATTTCTCTGTCAGTGCATTTCCTCATCTTGCTAGTATTTGAGCCACATTTTCCTGTGTAGCTTCTACCACTTTACGTATGTGACTTCAGATTATTACTTGTTTTCTTTCCTCACTGACTCCAAGTAAAAGTGAATAAATGTAATTGGATAAATCTAGATATGCCCGGGAAATATTACAAGTTTGTGCTTTCTTTTGTTTTTGTGCTGTGATGCTATTTTGGTTTAGAATCTAAGTTTGAAGTTGGATGGAAACAAAATGTTAGTCCTTCCTATAAAATACTGTGGCTTCCAAGTTTGACACTAAAAATAAGTATAAATGTTTCTGTTTCTTCTTTTTTATTTTCTCTTTAAAATATTCTCCTCTTAGGTGTACATTTCTCTCAGGAAAAGATCACAGTCTGGGCAATACTTGACTAGGAAAATCAAATTAAAACCAAGAGTCAGGTATCTTAAAATAACATGCACAGGTGTTTTGTTCTGTGGGTTATGTAAACACTATTGCTTTCTTAAGAATTTTTATCTGACTCAGTCAAGGTAATTTTTTGTGAAGGGCACAGCTTTTAAATTTTATTCACACCCGCACCTTGTCTCTCTACCCTCAAAATGTGCTCTAAGATTCCTCCTTTTTAGAATTCTTAGCATCTTCTACCTTTTAACTTTTTATAACCTTTTAACTGGTTATATTTTGTGAAGGTTAGCAGAGATTGGAACATTAACACAGTAAATTAAAAAAGAGAATTAAATACCTGTAAGATAGAATACCTTGACAGTGTACCAGTCTGTGAAAGTGTGGAGGCAAGATGCTTGAAAGAGAATAAGACAACTCAAGATTAATTCCTTGTAACTTTCCTGCTATAGATTTTGATCACACTATGTTACCAGAAGCGTTGGATGGGGTACTTTGGGAAGCAGAACCAGAATATACATGGAAGACTTGTACGTTTTCCATCAAGCCTCTTTTTCCCAAAGTGCTTTCTGCTAGTTCTGTGTTTGTTTATTTTATATTTTTCTCCTTCAACGGTGTTCATATAACATTAATGTTTATTGAGTTGAAATCTTGCAAAGCTGAAAATTAAGCTGTGGTTTCTTAGGCAAATGCCTCATGTGTCAGTAAGTCTTCAGCTCACTTGAGACCCTGTGTTGTGCTGTCTTGTGAGATTTGTTGTTCAGCAGATAGCATGTTGGAATAGTGGGGAACTAAGGTAATGGGAAGAGGGCCTGTGTTTTTTTTCAGGTAAATGAAAAAGGCTGTGCTATTGCAGAATTGGGAATGTGGAAATGCAGATGGGAAAGTTCAAGATAAAGTCTATGTTTTGTGTTTCGAAATCCATAAATATTTTTGTGTAAAATTGTCTAAGAAAGTGGTCTCATTTTAAGGCTGAATTGGAGGAAAGAGTTCAGATGCCTGGATTTTTATATGTGTACAGACTACACAGGGCAGCTATGAATTAAACATAATTTGGGAAACACTCTCACTCACCAAAAATAACCTTTTTTCCTCATTGCTGCTAGTAAATGCTGATCTTTAGTGGTAACCACAGTACTTAAAAGGACCTCTTTGTCCAATGTCCCTATATAGATAATCAAGATCAAAAAGACAACCCTTGTCACAAGAAGTTTTCAGCTTGGAATCATGGCCATGGATTTGGGCACTGTCATTATTATACAGCTATTACCAAATTAGACAGGAGCTTTAGAGCTGTCTTCAGTTGTATTTTGAAATAGCTGATTTTTTTTTAGTATGTACACAGACTTGAAAATTCAAGCCAAGCACCTCATTACTTTTGAGAAATTATACAGCAAATGCACTTGTCATGCAGTATGTTTATTTTCTGCAAGTGTCTTGTCCAAGTCTGGGATTCCATGAAAACTGCAAGCTGGCACTGCAACCAGAAGCAGCTTCACTTTTCCTTATAAGTTTTTTGTTTTCGTTTTGAAGTAACTTCCTTCTTTATGCTGACACAGCTGTCTTTGCAAGTGACTGGTCAGCCTGATGGGGGAACTGATCTGACAGAAAACTAGACCGTTTTCTTTTTTAAGTAAGCTTTCCACTGCGTTGGTTTCCTCACATCTCAGTTTCCATACAGCTTGGAACTTGCAGTACAGCAGTGGGACTTAAGCTCTGTTTATTGCCTGAGATTTTGGGATGGGATTTGAATGTCATTTTAGGGGTGGGTTTTTCTACTACTTGTGTAAGGAAGAAAATTCAGTGCCAGGATAATGCTTTTCCTTCTGACACTTGCAGAAAGGCGAATACTTGAAGTTGGTGGGCTTTAGATGTCCACACTATGTCTGGAGTATAACTTTGTTCCTTTCTTCTCTTTCTAGGCAATGGCTGTACTCTTCTCAAATTTCGTCATTATAACAACAGCACTTCTCTTCAGGATAGTGCTAAAGTAAGTAGTAAAGAAAAAATGGTATCTTCCCAGCCTTAATGAAGACCTTAAGCTACATTTTTTTCTCTTTGCCCGATGGGAATAGTCTTACCTGTTTTCTTGCAGCTATACCAGCTTGGAGAGCTGGCTTCATTTTCAGTGTCTGAAGGTGTAAGAAATAATAGCATATTAGGAGTCCCTAAATATCTCTGCTCATTTGGTCAACTGTTTTCTATTACAGAAATAATGATTATGTAGTTGTTGGATAGTCAGAATTAAGGTTTGGGTACTTTAATTTATACATTAAATCTCATATTTCATTATTAGCTGCTCTTCTTTCCAGTCTGTTGTAATCCTTATTTGAATGTAAATGTCATCTAACAAGAGGGGATGACATATGTAAGAGTGAGAGACAGCGGTGTCTTTGGTAATACTGTGCCAGCCTGGATGTGTCCCTGGTCAACTGCATAGTATGTTTTATAAAGTAATTATATGTCCCTTCTTCTTTAGTCATGTGACAAGTTTCTGTCCTGTGTGTTCCACTTTGCATGATTTGTGCTCTTTATGGTGTGATTTAGATTCAGAAAAAAACAGTTTATAACGAAATGGATATTAACTTCACACTCTACTTGAAAATTCACTTGTGTCGAACATGGAGCAAAGAAGCCTTTTCTGCAGGTGTTAATATAGAAAAAAAACGTGTCTGACAGTTTGACTTGAAATGGTTTTCCTCGGTTGTGTAGTTTTACGCCTCTGGTGATGTCACAGTTTGTTTAATCTTTCAATCTGATTTACCCAAGATAAACTGACTTCGCCTGAGTGAAAAAATAACATAAATATTTCTAACAGTCTTAAAAATTACATTCATAGATTTGTATGATTTAACATCATAAAATACTAGAACAGTGCACAAAATCGTGGGGTAAAAAGGAAGTGTGATGAATGTATACCAAAGAAAGAGGGCAGTTATTTTAATGTCTGTGATTTCTTTTTATCCATCAGACCTGTGTTCCCATGGAGACAACAGGTGCTTTTAAGTTGTCAGACAGTTAGTTTCTACAACTAACATGATCTTGAAAGACTTTCCTTAAATTATCTCTGCAGATACTCCCATTTTGTATTTCTGTGATTGCCAGGCTGCCCCTCCCAACAAAAGCATGCTGAGTTTTGGCATTTTGCTGTTAATTCTGAAAAGTCAATATCCTTCTTTGCACCTGTCTGTGTCTCATTATCTGTAGCTTGGTGTCTCTATGTGTTTTATAGAGCTTGCTCTCCTGTCATTTAATATGTGCCACTGTGTTTCTAAAGTTTGTGGCTTTTTTTGTCTGCTTCTAGGCGAAAACTCTCTTGGGTACAGTGGGCATCTTTGGTGATTTTATTCCTGTCCATCGTTGCCCTGACTCTAGGAACTGGAAGCCATCAGCAAAGCTTGGCTGCACATGGATTCCATCACAGTATGTTTTTTAGTCCATCTAACCACTGCCTTCTCTACACCGGACCTGAAGAAGCATGCCTGCAAAAGGGCAACTGCGTAGCACCCAGTTTCCTGCCCAGCTTCCAGTGGAATGTCACCAGTACCATGGCAGGAGCACTGAAACCTCTTCGCCTCAGCCTGGGCCATCTGCTCATTCTAGTGCAGTGTTTCATTTCTGCCCTGGCTAACATCTACAATGAAAAGATCTTGAAAGATGGAGATCGGCTTGGTGAAAGCATCTTCACACAGAACAGCAAACTCTATGCCTTTGGGGTGCTGTTCAATGGGCTTATGCTGGGGCTGCGGACTAAGGACCGGAGGCAGATAGGGAATTGTGGCTTCTTCTATGGGCACAACATCTTCTCAGTGGCTCTCATATTTGTCACAGCTTTCTTGGGGCTGTCTGTAGCCTTCATCTTGAAGTTCCGAGACAATATGTTCCATGTTATGACTGCTCAGATCACCACTGTTATCATCACTGCTGTCTCTTTTGTCATCTTTGACTTCAGGCCTTCTCTAGAGTTCTTTTTGGAAGCTCCTGTAGTGCTTCTCTCAATATTCATCTATAATGCCAGTAAACCAAGAGGCCTGGAATATGCTACTCTGCGGGAAAGGGGCAAACATGTCAAAGGAGATGCATGGGAGAGGTCAAGTGGGGTAAGGCTTTTCAAAAGTACTTGGTCTCCTCTGCTTTCTCTTTTGACACACCTCTGTTTATGTTATGGAACATTTGGAAGATTTGTTTTGCATGTGATTGCACTCACCTCAAACACCAAAACTTCTTAGTATTTCTTAAAATCTTGTAAATGGATTGGGTATTGCCTTGCATGTTCCACTTTTTCAATTCATGAAGCCTCGGTAAGCATTGCTTTCCTGCTGTGACTAGAGAGAGTTTTGTGAACAACTTTAGGTTTGTACATAACCAAAATATTTTAGTGGCCCTGGGCATCCAGAAATTGGAATTGATGCCTCAAAAATAGTGGTACTTAAGTAGAACAGATCAATCTGTGTAGCTAAACCCACATCATGAAGAAGTTGTATTGATGTTCAGATTCGTTCTACTTTAACAGTCCACAGATACCAGAAGACATAAAGGTAATGTTTAAATGTGAGTTTTGATAAGCTTTTTTTTAATGTACGTTTGCTCCGGGCCTGTTAGTGCGTTTTGTCCTAATTTGAATAGTAATATAACATGGCAGGGGACGCTTGCTCATTCAGTGGAGTTGAGCAGTCAGTCTGAGAGGTTAATTTCTGTGTACCTGAAGCCTGCATGTGCAGAAGTGTTCTGTAATACACGTCGCGACCAGCAGAGAGTGCTGTCTCCACTTATTGCTAAGAAACAACTTGTAGGAGATGTTCTCCAGAAATTCCACATGGTGCCTTTTTAGGTTGTTGTTTAACAAGCACTAAATAACACAACATCATAAAATTCTTCGGTGTGGAGGTGGTGAGAGACTGCAACAAGTTGCCGAGGGAAGTTGGATGCCTGTCCCTGGAAGTGTCCAAGGACAGGTTGGACTTTAAGCAACCTGATGTAGTGGGAGGTGTCCCTGCTCATGCAAGGAGGGGTTGGAATTAGATGGTCTTTAAGGTCCGTTCCAATCCAAACCACTCTATGATGATTCTATGATTTTTGGTATACCGAGTTTTCTCTATTTCAGGACTTAAAAATTGAGTAGCTGTGGTAAAAACAATTAGCGCTATGTGCGCATTCCTGATCAAGGAATAGGCTACAAGCTGGTTTTCTGTGTTAAAGATACAGGGGATGTTTTTTATGAGCTACGAGCGTGTATATCCTAGAGCAAGATTATGATGCACTGGTAAGATATTTAAATTATCAATTCTTGATTGTGTGTAAGTTCAAAATCACAGAATCTTAGAATCATTAAGGTTGGAAGGGACCTAAAGACCCCCACCCCCCCCCCCCCCTACCATAAGCAGGGAGCCCCACCACTAGACCAGGTTGCACAAAACCTTTTCCAACCTGGCCTTAAAAGCCTCCAGGGATGGGGTGTCAACAACCTCCCTGGGCAACCCATTCCAGTTCCTCACCACCCTTATAGTGAAGAATTTCTTCCTAATATCTAGCCTTAATCTCCCCTCTCTCAGTTTAAAACCATTATCTCTTGTCCTATCACTACCCTCTCTGATGAAAAGCCCTTCCCCAGCTTTCCTGTAGCCCCTTCAAGTACTGGAAGGCAGCTATAAGATCTCCCCGAAGCCTTCTCTTCTCTAGGCCGAATAGCCCCAGCTCTCTCAGCCTCTCTTCATAGCAGAGGTGCTCCAGCCCTTTGATCATCTTGGTGGCCCTTCTCTGGACCCTAAAACTTGACTGTTTTTTTTTTTTGGTACTAATAACAAGTTAATTTTTGCTTACATTGTTCTCTTCTGGTTCTGGTTCCTGCAGGATGGCGAAGAATTTGAGAGACTGAACAAACCAAGCAGTGACATCGATACAGATGAAGATTCCCTCTAGCATGAAGCTGGCTCAGAGAGTGCAATTACTCATAGTGAGAGAATGTTAATGTTTTATTAACATAAGAGAAGGACCATTTTCCTCCACTTGCAGAACAATTGAGACTATTTTGGAGCTGAATGTCATAGGTGGATAAGGAAAACATTGAAGTCACACATGGAGAGTTGTGTTCTCTCTTCAGAAGTTAAAAATCTACTGAAAGAAACAAAATTAGCAACTGGTGCAAACAAGATGGGGCTTGGACCCTGGACTCAGTGATCTGAGTGGCACGTGTTGACTGTCCTGAGTCTCTGCAACTTCCTTTATGAGTTCCTTCATTAGCAAAGCAGAGATAAAACTGTTCTCCACCTTGCAGAAGTGATATGAATGTTGATTAATGTTTTTGCTGCATCTTCTAATGTACAAATGTTCCAGTAAGTTTTTTTTTCAGGACTGAAGTTGTTACTAATAACCTCATAAATAATGAGGCTTATTGGCTGGTTTATTGTATTTTGGCAATTCAGATTGACATAACCCTGGCTGAGTAAAAGGAGTCCTTTTGAACCACCTTCATCTAACTTGTACTTGAGAATGTATAATAAATCAAGTAATTTGGGTTAAGGATATGTTGATCCTTCAGACAGGCAGATCTCTAGAGTGTGATTAGAGTTTGAATGGTCTTAATTCTGTCTTCGTTCCAATTTTTGCACGAGTGTAACTCTGTACTGACTCCTGTGGAGTCCTTTCTTTCTGGTTTTCTCTGATGTGACTGAGAGCAGAATAGATTTCACTGACTTCAGCCACTAGTTTTCCTTACATTTTCCATATGCAACTGTTATGCCTGTCTCCCAGTGTCTGGGGAAATGGAAATCTGGAATGCCTTTGTAGCAAACAGTGAATTTTACATGCAATTTATGTGGCCTAACTTTGAAAGAGCTTGAATAAAACAGAAGTGTCTTATACAATATGAATGTGTTATAGGGTTTTGTTTTGGTTTTTTTGTTTGGGTTTTTTTTTTTTGCATTTAGAAAGGCTTTGTGTAGAGGCTTAGTTTGCACTGAGGTCACTGTCTGAAAACAAATATTATGCAGCTACAGTGATACCTTTCAGCATCTGGAACACTGAGTAAGAGGGTGCAGGTGGTAATACCATTTGGTGTTGCTTCACCCTGTCAGACTGATAAGGTCTTGCATTCATTTGGTAGAGAGAAATTCTGCAGAGTGCCAGGCATAGCTGAGGCATCTGGTGGGTTGTATTTTGAGTGAGATGGAACACAGGTTCCAAATAATTCAGAGTATTTAAAGGGGGAAGGGAATAGGGATGCAGATAAGAGATTCTTGGTATGTTCCTAAAGCCTCAGACAGTGGAGAAGATGTTGGTTTATAGTTTCCTCCCTTTAAAAATGTGTCTTTCATAGTTGAAAGATACCGTCAAAAGAATTCTTAAGATAAGCAATGAATTCAGTGTCAAAGCCTCATACCACAGTGTATAGTAATCAGTAATGCATTTCTCTGTGGACTGAGGACAGTCCTCCCTTTGTTCCCCTCTGCTGTTCTCTTTCCAGGCTCTGTCTATAGCCAGCTTACTTATGCATACTGTATTGATGGCTCATTGCTTTATTAATAAACATACCTCCTCTCATTGATCCATGAAGAGGAGCAGCCCGTTTCCATATATGGTCAATGACTGTCAAGTTATAAACTGTGAACCTGAAATTATTATTTCTTTTATTTCTTTTTTTTGGGGGGAGTACCAATTTTTTCTACTATACATTAAGAATAATTGTACAAAATGAAACTACTATTGTGGTTGAAAATTTTTTTTATAGCTTAGCTCATTGTGCTTGTGTATTAGACCATTTCAACAAAAGGAAACCTATTTGTTTGAATCTGTGCAGAATGCATATTTCAGTGAAAGTTCCAGAAACATGTTTTTTGTTGGTTTATAATATCCTAATTTGGGAAATGAAACTTCAGTGCACAAAAGAAAAAGAAGCTCAAACTGCTGAGGACTTGGTTGTGATAAGACATTTGCATATATTTTTTTTCATTGCATACAGCTTTGCAATATATGTCTGTCTGAGTTCGTTGGCTTTTTCAATCATAGCTACCAACTAGCAGGTATTTCCAAGAAGAGTAAAAGTACTGTTAGCTTTAGATTGCTTTGCAATTGCATGAGCAGTAGCTTTTTACATGAACTTTTCCAGAGAGCTCTGTTTTGTGTTAAGTCAGAACATAGAAATCAGCCTTGTACCTCTAATGACAGAGCATCAAACCAAGGCTGAATGTCTTATAAACTGTTGTCCTGCTTAATGATTTTTCCTCTATAAATTTCAGTGATGCTCTCATGCTTGACTTGTTTGCCAAAGTCTTAGATTGCACAAAGATGTCAAGTATATAACTGCTGATTCACATGTTTACTTGCCCTGTAGAGTTAGTCCTGTCTAACATGTAGAAAGCTTTCTGTTGTTTTCAGGCTGGAGGTTTCAGAGGTTCTTCTAGATTGGCCAGGCAGGTTTCTTGTGATAATGGAGAACTGTACCCACGTGGCAGCAACAGGCATGTTAACTGCTGTCTAAAAGTAGGTAAGGATTTGCATCAACTCAGCAGTAAAAAAGTGTGCAAAGTAGCCTTAAAGTATAACCACACAGTTCTGTGCAGCTGTACTATCCATGGCAATAGTCAAATTTAGTGAGTACATAAGGTTTGTTAGAGGAAGTGACTGCAAATGATAGTCGGCTGGAGAGCAGCCCTGGTTAGCAAGTGGGAGCTATTCTATGCAGTTACATGTTTGAAATAGATCATGTGAATCCCAGTTGATTAAGTATTTCCACTGTATGGTTTTTGACCCACTCCATTTGGAAATCTTACAATTTTTCTGCTCAATTGACAACAGGGAAATTTACAAGGAAATTTTTAGAGAGCAGCATTAGTTTGGCACATAGTCTTTAGTGAATACACTGGACAGAGATGTCTTTTTAAGCTGTGATTTAGAGCCCAGATTCACAGAAGTTTGAATTTAATTGCTGCTGAAGATGTTACGTTCCTCCCTCCAGGTCTGAGGAAATAGTTCTCAAAACCTCTCAGAGAGGGATGTGTTCATGTTTCCCTTGTTTATAATAAGCCAAATAAAGCAATATTTATTTTGGTTAATTTCAACTACTTTGTGAATGTAACAACCAAGCCATGGTGCCTGTGGATGAAAACAGTCATCTTGGAGCTGAATCAAATCCTATAAATATGTATAAGAAAAAGGTTTTTTTTTTTGTTTTTTGTTTTTTATTTTGTGTAATCTTCCCACTAAGAGCTACAGAAACAGGATCTTAATAAGTCTGTCCTCAATGTGATGCTGCAGGGACAGATCCAGTGCTTTGGATCTGATTTGTGTTCTGCAAGATCTTAATTTGGAATATTGTAGCTCCTGGATGCTTGTAGGCTTCAAGATAACTATATGTTGTTGAAAAGATTTTTTGACTTGCTGTTCCTTCAGGCTTTGTTTTTGGTTTTCCACAGGGAGAGGGTAGGTTGCAAAATCAGGATTTCAAATCATTGCTGAAAATTTTTGCTGATAATTTTGAGCCAGTTAGTAATGAAGGCAGGAATTGGCACCAGAATGTACGATGATACTGTCTCTTCCTCAAATTCTATGAATATTTGAATCTGGAGTTTTGGTTAAGTGCCCATTCCAACCTCCCTTATAAGTGGACAACTTGTTTGGAGTTGTCTTTTTAATGCAACTCCCACAGAATGCCTCGGCTGGGTTTGGTACTTGCACAACTTAATTTTTAATTTTGGAGAGAGGAGAAAAAAACCCCACCACTTTACATCAGGTGTTACACTTTCTTTTGCAAGTTAACTGCTTGCTCCTTCTGCTCAGCATAGGGAATTTTCATGATTTGTAGTGTGAGTTAAAAATGTTTTCATTTAAAGATTTGTCATGAAAAAAACAAAAAGATTACAACAAAGTTGAAATTAACAACTGAAATAAAATACCCTGGAAGTGTTTCTCTTTTTGGCTACAGGAGATGCCTGTTAGACATCTGGTGTACTTTCCTCTGCTTTTGCTTTAGGCAAAGAAAGTTAGACAGCTGACCTGAATACACTCATGCAATTAGCACTTGTTTTCTAAAACTGACCTATGGGACCTCTCATTCTAAAAACCTTTCAGTTCCGTGATTCTATTTTATAGCTTCTCTTTGGGATTTATTGTTATTATTATTTGTTTGGTTGTTTTTAAAATTATTTTTATTTTTTATTTCTCTGTCCATTGCTTTTAGCTGTAGATAAGGGAGAGCTTGGAAGTTCTCTGCAGGCAGCAGTCCTCTCAGAAAGGTTCTGTTAAATCCTGACCTTTCCCCACTTAGCTCCAGTCACTCGAGAGAGGCAAGTCAGGAGCTGTACTCTGTGCCGACTGTACCATGTGGTATGGAAGGCAGCCTGCCCCAGAGGTGACTGGGTTTGTAAAGCTGAGGAAGACCTGGCCAGGCCTTGTGACCTCTCCACATCTGTCTGCCTTTCTGACACTCAGAAGGGCAAGCAGGGTCTGACCTTTTGTGGTGAAGTTTCTAAAGAAAGCATCTGCTTTTGTGTGAACTTGTGGCTTTACCCAGTTCTATTTTTGTCTGCCTCCCCCCACCAAGAAAAAAAATATTAAAAAAAAGGATCAGAAAAGAACTAAGAAAATGCTTAAACTCAAATTGTGGGGTGTGCTCTGGCCAACTTAGAGGTGTAGCTTCTCCCTATTCCTGTGTTACTGCTAGGATGGCAAAACGTAATGAGTGCCCTTGTTGCATGTCATGTTGCATGCATACATGGCATGTGCACCCATGTCACAGATTATAGAAAGAAATATGACTGATCAGGCATGCCTTCAACATTAAAAGTTGACCACTGTACCACTGTGAAGGCTTACATGATACCTACACTTCAGGATATTCCTGAATCTTACTTCTGAGTGTTCAATGCTTAGAAATCTAACCTGACTGGTGTTGAAAGCATGACTACACATGCAGTTCCTGCCACTGATTTCAGTAAGGGCAGGGTGGTGCAACAGATCCAATGCCTGAAGACACCAATGAGAAGGGAGAAGAAAACCATTTCAGAAAATGTGGCAGAAATAGAGCTGGTTTAGTGGCAGATCAGATAATTCCCAAATAGTTTTACAAACATTTAGTCTAGGTATTTTTTTTTTCCATGGGAGAGGGTATGAGAAGAAGAGGTAGAAGGAAATTTGAAATTTAGAGTAATAGTTTAATTAATTAAAAACATTATTATAGAGAGCTAGTTACAACTCATTTAAAATACACATTACTGATTAATTTTTTTCCTTTTTTTTTTTTTTCTGATGAAAATACTGCTCTTCAGTTTTCTGTATTTCAGACAATGCTAACTATGGTTGTGTTTCCACTTAGCTCTCATTAACTTGGATTTAACTGTCAGGTGGGCAAGACCTGAGAGAACAGGGACCCCAATTAAAAGAATAAATGGCAGCACAGCAAGCTTTGAAGTCAAGAACTTTACCTTATATTGTATGGTATTGAAAAAAATCCTGCCATAGCCATAAAGTCTTATTTTCATTGATAAAGTCAGCTAATTACAATGTTAATGCATTGTAGAAGGAATTCTGTCTTTTTAGACAAGGTACTTCAAAAGGATTTTATTATAATTATTGCTGTTGTTATTAAAGAGCCTACCCCATGCTTCTTTCTTAAAACTTTGCATTTCTGGGAAAGTCCTGAAGTGTGATTCTTTGCTTGTATTCATGAGCACAATGCAAAATTCCCAGTTTCCAATAAATATATTTTTTTTTTTCTCCTTAGAAAAAAAATACTAAAAAGAGCATTGCAATATCTGTTGGACAGTTTCTGTCCTGCCCTACAGCGGTGTCCATGGACTGGGGCTGTGGGGTTTTTTTTGTTTGGTTTTAATACAAACAGCACCTGCTGATGCTCTTTGTTTATAAAGGCTTAAAAATATAAAGGAGTCTTTATTGTTTAAAGCTTCAATAGTACTGGTTTGGATTGCTTCACTGTAAAGGCTTCTGCGTTTTTGAGAAGGCAAATTGACCCAAGTCCCTTGATTGAACAGTGGGAGAAGGAGGCATTGTTATCTAGGTGGCCTGGGAAGACATTCTGCAGCTGGCCACCTATTGCTTGGATAGCTATTAGAAGACAGACACAAGGCAGTCGGAGGCTAAGTTGCTCTTTTCAGTACGGGTATCCGTGGTGGTAACTTCCGTGGTGACGGTAGTCATCTTGGTAACCTTCCTGGTATCCCTGGTGGTAGCTATGGTAACCATACCCACCATACTCATCATCTGGGCACTGCATGCCAAGCGACTGCTGAATGGTCATTTCCTGTCGCCGAAGCTGCATGGAATCAATCAGATCATACACAATTGCCATAGACCACATTGGAGAAGGATACCAGGATTTGACGTTTCCATCTTTCCCAACTAGAAGCATGGAGAAATATTCTGGACTAATTTGGAAATAATTTCGAATGTCTTTCACCAAATTAGCTGGGATATCTTCTCGGTCCACAGTAGAGCTTCCTAGAAAGTGATCACATAAAACCAGCATTGATATCTTGGTTAGGTGATGATGATGGATGTAGGTAAGCGAGGCAGCAACATGAGATAGGGAACAGCCCAATAGATAGCAATGTAAGATCATTGTCACTTACAAGCTCAGGATTTCCTGGGTCTGATATGAAACTACTCCACTCTGAATAAAAGATGTATTTTTAACAGTTTTGTTAGGTAGGCTGAAGCTACTAGATTGTGGCACTAGTGGGTGGCTTTTTTTGTCATTCATCATACATGCATGTCTTCTCCTCCTATGCAGCTTGGGTCACTGGTTCATGTAATGCAGAAGGCATGTGTGAAAAACTGTCACAATGAAGGAAGTCCCCAGAATTGAAATTAATTCACTGTAATCAGGTCTATATGCAGTAGAAGGACTAAGATGCTGTCATGTACAGAGCTGTAGGAACGGCAATGAGATAAATAAACTCCTTCCTGCCTTTGTTCCTCCACTGATGGAGGGCAATCATTGGGATTAGGTAGCAGAGGAACCTGTAGCCTTTGAAATGTACCCTGACAGTGAGATCTCCTAAGAATAGCTACCTGAAGTAGCCTGCTGGAATACTTAGTGGGGGCTTACAAGAAAGATGGAGAAAGACTTTACCAGGGCCTGTAGAGACAGGACAAAGGGTAATGGTTTTAAACCAGAAGAGGATAGTTTTACCTTGGGTATAAGGAAGAGTTTTTTTAGGATGAGTGTGGTGAGACACTGGTACGAGTTGCCTGGGGAAGCTGTGGCTGCCTCTCCCTGGCAGTGTTCAAGGCCAGGTTGGATGGGACTTTGAGCAACCTGGTCTAGTGGAAGGTGTCTCTGCCCATGACAGGGTAGTTGGAGCTAGACCTTTTAAAGGTTCTTTTCAGCCCAAACAATTCTCTGAAGACGAATGAGGGACCAATATAGGAGAAGCTGCTGGGTATATGTTCCATTAGCTCTGCAGACTCTTGAGCATGTAAAAGAAACAGACATCCCATTGTATTTTCAGCAAGGCAGGCAGAGGTGTATTTAGGACTGTATGTTTAGGTGCGAGATGAAGATGTGAGATGACTTAAACGTGATGTTTGGGCTTTTCTGTCCTGAAGAAACTATGTGATGTTTAGCACAGGAACATAAAGAAAACTTTCAGTTTAACTTTTGTGTCTTGTTTCTTAAAAGAAACAAAACTAAAGAGAAAAATACAGTCATACCCATCCGTCTAAAGAAACTACAGCAGAGACACTCAGTGCTATGTAATGCCCTTCATGGGTAGTACTCAAGAAACTGGAAACAGTCACTTACCATTAATTGGATACAACTCTAAGACACCACCAATATCTTCTCCAACTCCAAGCAACTTGAGGATAGTTATATGGCGCAGACCTGTGGAAGAAATTAAACAGGTTTTGGGTCAGAGTAGATCTTTCTGCTCATTCTGGGGCAGTTTTTTGTTTAATCAGCTATGTATGTGCATGCTAAATTAAGGGTCAGTCTCAGCAGCCTTTTGGGAAGAAGAGTTACTAAGAGTTCTCTAGAGTCTCTGCCAGTCACATCAACTGTCCCAAATGTGGGGATAAATGTTGCATGAAATGTTGCATGCAGTTGCATGAAAGCTGGCTAGTGTCCCAAGGACAACAGCGTTTGGTGTGGTTCTGTAGCACAGGGATACAAGCATCAAGCAATTCCAGTAAATTAGAGGCTATTTCCCAGATTCAGAGTATCTCTTCACTGTTTTGTTCACTAGTAAAGCTCTTTCTTGTCATCCACACGGCAACAAAGTACTTCAAGGCAATGCAGCCTGTCACAGTTAAACTCCAAATGACTGTGGGGAATGGCTTAGGACAGACATTCACTCCTTTCATTTGTTTTGGGCAGAGGCTTGTACTGTTGCCTCTGCTTTGAAGACAGACCTTAAGGGCTGTAGAAACTTTGCATGTAACATGAGCCTGTGCAATCTACAAAATCTTTCACGTAACTGTTTTCACGACTTGGAGGTAAGATACTTGGAACCACATCACTTAGTTAAAACAACTGTTGAGGACAAATACTTTAGGAATTCCTTGGATCTCCTTCAAACTGTCCCTAACAACTAGTGAGGCAAATTAACTGTTTAGTTACATCTCATTCTTCCAAGAAACATTTAACACTGGTCCTTGTCACAGTTTAGTTTGGTAACTGAGATGATGCCTGTGCTCAAAATGAAAGCCAGGTGATTATGAAAAAACAGACAGTGTAAGAGTGATACTGTGCAGATCTCCAGCGATAATTGATATGTATTGATATTCACAGCCACATGAGCTAGGAGACAGGGAGGAAGTGCAGAATGAGGTCATCACAATTAAATAAGTGGTCAGAGACCTACTACAACACTTAGATGAACAGAAGTCTAAGGACCAGATGAATTACATCCAAGGGTGCTGAAAGAGCTGGCAGATGTGATCACCAGGCCACTTTCCATTATTCACCTGAAGTCCTGGCTAACTGGGGAGGCCCCAATGGACTACAGGGTAGCAAATGTAACACCCGTCTATAAGAAAGGCAGAAAGGAGGGCCCAGGAAACTATAGACCTGTCAGTCTGGCCTTGGTCCCAGGGGAGGTCATGGAGCAGATCATCTTGAGTGTCATTAGAAGCCATATAGAGGAATAACCAGGGGGTCAGGCCCAGTCAGCATGGGTTTATGAAAGGCAGGTCCTGCCTGATGAACCTGATCTCCCTTTATAACCTGATGACCCGATATTAGACAAGGGAAAGACTGTGGATATTATCTACCTGGACGTCCAAAAAGCATTTGACATGGTTCCCTATAGAACTCTCATAAAACCTGGCTGCTCATGGCCTGGATGAGCACACGATCTGTTGGATCAAGCACTGGCTGGACAGTCAGGCCCAGGGAGTGGTGGTCAATGGAGTCAAATCCAGCTGGGGCCAGTCACAGGTGGTGTTCCTCAGGGCTCAGTATTGGGACCATTTTTGTTTAACATCTTTATTGATGATCTCGATAAAGACCTAGAGTGTATTATCAGTAAGTTTGCAGATGACACCAAGCTAGGTAGGAGTGCTGATCTGCATGAGGATAGGGAGGCTCTACAGAGAGACCTGGATAGATTAGATGGTTGGGCTAATGTTAATGGTCTGGGCTTCAAGGATGCCAAGTTCCAGGTCCTGCACTTGGGCCACAACAACCCCAGGCAACGCTCCAGGCTTGGGGAAGTGTGGCTGGAAAGTGTCTGGCAAAAAAGGACCTGGGGTTCTAATGGACAAGTAGCTGAATATGAGCCAGCAGTGTGCCCAGGTGGCCAAGAAAGCCAGCAGAAGGAGAGAGGTGATTGTCCCCCTGTACTCAGCACTGGTGAGGCCACACCTGGAGTGTTGTGTCCAGTTTTGGGCACTTCAATTCAAGAGAGATATTGAGGTGCTGGAGCAAGTACAGAGCAGGGCAATGAAGCTGGTGAAGGGCCTAGAGAATCAATCTTATGAAGAATGCTTGAAGGAGCTGGGAATGTTTAGTTTGAGGAAGAGGAGGCTGAGGGGAGACCTCATCCCTCTCTGCAACCACCTGAAAGGTCGTTGTAGAGAGGTTGGTGCTGGTCTCTTCTCACAGGTAATTAGCAACAGAACAAGAGGGACTGGTTTCAAGGTGCAACAGGGGAGGTTTAGAGTGGAGATTAGGAACATTTTTTTTCACAGAAAGAGTGGTTAGACACTGGAATAGGCTGCCCAGGGAGTTGGTTGAGTCACCATCCCTGCATGTGTTTAAGGGTTGTTTGGATGTCGTGTTGGTGGATCTGGTTTAGGGGAGAACTTTGTGGAGTAGGGATGATGGTTGGACTTGGTGATCCCAAGGGTCTTTTCCAACCTCAATAGTTCTATGATTCTATGAAACAGTGGCTTCTGAATGGGACCTGTTTCATTGTTTTGTAGGAGTTAAGTCTAGACTCTGTTCAGTACTTGCATTGCTAGGAACCTAAGTTAACAAGTAAGTCTCTGAGGATTTCATTATGGAAAGACAGAAAAGTGTTTCTGGGTCTTGCTCTTAGTTGCCTCCTGGATGAGCCCATGACTCTCCAATGAACATGTAGAGGGATCTTAAGTACCTACATAGGGGGCTGGGTGAGTCCTCGTTTGGTTAAAGCAGGTCCCATTAGTATTTTTTTCAGGTTTTGGCAATGAAGGAGGAAGGAAAATAAAAACAACCCACAACACCCTGATGTCTGTGCATCTCCCTGATACCTGGCCCAGTTATAGGAAGATCTGCCCTTCCCAAAGCATTGTACTTATGTCACTGAGTGCTAGCCTTTTCTGCCTCACACAAACAGTTCCAGAGAACATTTTGTTTAGCTGACTTAGCTGTCAGGGTGTGCTGTACTACCTGCTCAGGGCAGTATTTTCCATTTGTATTTGGAGTAGCTACAGCAAACTTTTCAGTTGCCAGACTAAGTTCAGACTTATGCAAAGGAATCCATCGTATCACCAGGAAGGATGTGGGTTTGGGGAGCAAATCTCTTTTCACTCACCAAAATTGCAGGCTTGTCCACTGAGAGCAGCCAGCTGCTGGGAATAAGCCCAGTCCTCATCACTGGGAGCAGAGATCACCACCAGCCGCCTCCTCCATCGGAACCTGGAAAGGGAAGAGTATGTGACAGAGCACGGTCATGGACTCGAGTCCTCTCACCATTTTTGTTCTTTGTAGTCTGGGATTTGTCATGCCTCTCCCAACTTCTAAGTAACAGCTGGATGGGAGATCTTCCTAGTTCTATCCATCGCTGGGACAGGGTAAAGCTTGTTTTGAATTTTACAACTCCTAAACTCTCAAAGAAACATCTGCAGTTTTGCTGCTTCATCAAACACTGCAACGCTTACAAGCTTTGCTCGAAGTTCCCTTCAGTTGTTACAGTGATGCTGAGAAGTGTATATTCAAGGGCAGGGAAGATTCCTGTATAATTCCTCACTTAACATACTGCTTTTATGTCATTCACCACTGCTGGAACTACAGTTATTTTGCAGTCCAAGGGCTGTCTGACAACTTGGGTGTATCTTCATTTCAGACATAACTCATACTTCTGTGTAAATACTCACTGACCTCTTTTTCTTCTATAACACGCTTGCTCAAGATGCCTTTAACATGGCTTTAAATCGGAGGTTGTTTGTAAGTATGTGGTTATGTGAGCCTGTGGCTATATATGACATTCATGAGGCAATAAGTTGAATCTTTGATTTCTCTTTAATATGGGATGGCCCATCTAACCACCTTCTGTTGTCCTCTCAAAGAAAGGCAATGTCATAAGGACACTTGAAACCTTCAAAAATTCGAACTATAGGGGTTTTTAATACTCTCCAAACAGCCCCTTTTTTTGCTTAAAGGCAGGTACTTCTCCATTCAATCTAAATGAATCAGATTTAAAGGAATTTGCAAAGCTGCAGGGATATTTTTATAGCAGGAAATGATCTTTTAAATGGATGCAGATGTTACTCTGTTATAATAATAGCCTGCCTTTCTGCAGCACCATGTGAACATCTCAAAATAAAAGCTAATATGATGGGTCAGTTCTGTTCCACTTGAGAGAGGCAGAAAATATGGTGACACTTGCTCAAAGTCACAGAAGAAGTTGCTGAAAGAATAGGGGATGATGATATCTTTGTCTTGTTGACCATCTGATCCTGCATGTAATTTTAGAATTAAAGAAGTAAATCCTTTGAAAGCAAAGCTCCCCAATTTTAGTCTTGCCCAGAAGGAAAAGCAAAGAGACCTGGGTGTGTGAATAGGAATGAGAAGCTTCAAGAGTCACATATGTGACATGAAGGAAAGGGGGGAAATTTCATGCTGTTATGGAAATGGGGAAAAAAAATCTTTGTGATACTGAGTCTTGCAAACGGCTACATATAAACAATGACTGAGAAAGTAAACATTGCATCATATTTTATCTAGGGCATAAATCAGAATGGAATCTTGTCTGTGAGCTGCTTTACGATAATCCAAATCCTTTCTGTTTTTTTAGTACCTCCTTTGGAGATGTAGAGAGCTGAAAAGTGCTGAAAGCCACTCAAGCTGTTATCCCCTTGCCCCAGGCAATCTCTGTACCTCATGTACTTGTCTGGGGCTACATCTTACTGAGAAACTAGTTCAGTTCGTCCTTCACAGCTGTTAGTTCACCATCACTAGTGTACATGCCTTACTTCTGACATCACAAGCCACAGGCCAATACTCCTGTCCTGACAAATCTGTGAGACCCTTCTCTGTGTGCATTCTTTCTTCCTCTTCTCCCTGTGTTCTGTCCCATTGTCATTTGTGAGCCTAGAGAATAGCACAGCTGGTGTCTTGGTGTTACAAGGGCACTCTCTTCCACAACCTCAAGGATCTTTTCCTGATACATGTGGCTTTTAAGCATTGCTCAAGACAGCTCTGGCTCTCATGTTCTCCTTCCACGCCAGCCAGGCTTGTTAAGAAAAATATTTGCATTATTATAACTGACCTCCCCAATGAGCAACACCAGGGAAACCATGCCAGGACTCTTGTTCAGCTGGGAAGATAATCTTGGACAAAGCTGGAATTAATCTTGCTGGGAATGTGACCAGCTAACGTGGCTAGTGAAATCCACCCAGTATTTAAACCCTGATGCTTCATGGACAACAAATGCATTCTGTGCACTGGCATTTCTCTTTATAGATGCAACATTCTGCATTTTTCCTGCCTGTTTTTCTAATGTGTGTTTTTTATTAAGGCTGTTTGTAAGCAAAGAAGGATCTGGGGCCTGTCACTTTGTAGCATACAAGCTCTTTCTTGTGCTGGTCAGCTATTTCCAAACTGTGGTTCTTCTTGATGGTCTTGAGGATGAATCACTGATACCTAAACAGGAGGTGGTGAGGTGGGTGGGGTGGATCTTGTTAAAGGTTCTCTTTCTGTTGAAGTGGCCATCGAATTTTAAAATGTTTATGAGAGAACAACCTACTCATTTACCTGTTGCTCCTTTCTCCCTCAAGTCATAATCCATCATACTGCTTCAGTTATTTTTATAGCTGTCTGGCATTAACAGTGTATTCCCATGGATTCCGATGGTAGGTGAGGTGGATGTGGTAGTAACAGGTAAAGCCTAGAGTGATGGGGTAGCCCTAATTCCATATAAATTATTCTGTAACAGAGAGGGCTAGAGCTGCACAGCTCTTCCGTGGATCTTAATTCCCACAGTCCAGATGTGTTTATTATCTGGAATTTAGGTCTCTCAGGTAGAGCAGTAACATGACATTAGAGACTGCATAAACAAAACTGTCTTTTTGCAGAAGGTCCCTCAGACATTTTGAAGAGACATCTGCAAGAACTTTAATAATATGCATGACTAATACTGGCAAACACCAACTGTTATCTCAAGCAGGATAAGAAGAAAGTTACAGAGAATAAATCACTGGTTCTTGTTACATGGAAGGGATTAGAATGGGATTAATGAGATTGTGATGGTTGATGATTGAAACACATAAACACTGTGCTTCATACATTCAAAACACTGAGCTAGTGACTAGTGGAGTCCCACAGGGGTCGGTACTGGGACCAGTGTTGTTCAACATCTTCATCAACGACCTGGATGAGGGTATAGAATGTACCCTCAGCAAGTTTGCTGATGACACTAAGCTGGGAGGAGTGGCTGACACACCAGAAGGCTGTGCTGCCATTCAGAGAGACTTAGATAGGCTGGAGAGTTGGGCGGGGAGAAACATGATGAAATTCAACAAGGGGAAGTGCAGAGTTTTACATTTGGGGAAGAACAACACCATGTCCCAGTACAGGTTGGGGGCTGAACTGCTGGAGAGTAATGTAGGTGAAAGAGACCTGGGGGTCCTGGTAGACAGGAGGATGACTATGAGCCAGCAATGTGCCCTTGTGGCCAAGAAGGCCAATGGCATCCTGGGATGCATTAGAAAGGGTGTGGTTAGTAGGTCAAGAGAGGTTCTCCTCCCCCTCTATTCTGCATTGGTGAGGCCACATCTGGAGTATTGTGTCCAGTTCTGGGCCCCTCAGTTCAAGAAGGACAGGGAACTGCTTGAAAGAGTCCAGCGCAGAGCTACAAAGATGATTAAGGGAGTGGAACATCTCCCTTATGAGGAAAGGCTGAGGGAGCTGGGTCTCTTTAGCTTGGAGAAAAGGAGACTGAGGGGTGACCTCATCCATGTTTACAAATATGTAAGGGGTGAGTGTCAGGGGGACGGAGTTAGGCTTTTCTCAGTGATGACCAGTGATAGGACAAGGGGTAATGGGTGTAAATTGGAGCATAGGAGGTTCAAGGTGAATATCCAAAAAAATTTTTTTACTGTAAGAGTGACAGAGCCCTGGAACAGGCTGCCCAGGGAGGTTGTGGAGTCTCCCTCACTGGAGACATTCAAAACCCACCTGGATGCGTTCCTGTGTGATGTGCTGTAGGTGACCCTCCTCTGGCAGGGGGGTTGGACTAGATGATCTTTTGAGGTCCCTTCCAGCCCCTAAGATTCTATGATTCTATGATTCTATGATCTGCAAATTAGTCCTTATTTGCTCTTCTAATGCAAATCAGAGTTATTATCTCCACGTCAGGACCAGGGTACTGAGGTACAGAAAGGTAGTGTTCAGAGAATGTGCAGCCAGTCAGGAAACGCAACATGCATCCTGACTTCCAGTGCTCTGTACAAGATTGCATGCAGCTATGGCTACATCTCTGTAACTGCTCAACACCATAAAAACTGTAAAATCTATATTAAAAAAAAATCAACACATAAATACTTGGATGAGTATTCTTCCAATATGGCAATAATTATTAGAACTAGCAGCAGAGAAGAACAGAGAGTAATACCTGGATAAGAAGCTCTCAAGGGATTGCTTCTTATCTTCTTTGCAGACAATACCTTCTTTTTTCTGTCTTTCCATGTCTTTAATTCGTGACTGGAAGGTGTCTATCAAATCAAACACGGACTTCATTGCTATGGGTACTTCATAGTATTGCTGTAAAGAAAAAAACCTCAGATGGATAAAAGGACACACATATTAGCAGTCTTTCTGCTACATACGTGTATAAATATCCTACAGCAATGTAGGATATATAGACATTCAAGTATTCCTATTTATACATGAGGAGCAAGGCCTAAAGCAGATTAAAAACCATGAGCAGTATTATTGGTTTTGCAGTCAGACTGCTCTTTGGAAGTGGCATATTTTCCGTATTTGCCCAATGTGATAAAGCTGGGCCATTGCAGGCAACAAAATGTCTTTATATTCTTTTGCAAGGCCATTCAACTAGACCACTGTCCATATGCAATGTGTTGTCACCCCTCTGCATGGCCAAACTATGTGTTTTAGAATGCCAGGTACTATACTAGAACTCCTGCCAGTAGGGGATCCTGTTCCTATGGTGTCAGCTCACCATCCCAGCAGAAACTCCCAACTCCTGAAATTCTCTAACTGCAGAAAATTAAGATAGCTACCTAATTCCTAAAAATTTATCTCACTGTCCTTTTTCTTGTCCTCCAGCAATAGCTGAGTCCTGCATCAGTCTCTTATGTGCCTCATGTGCAAGCCTGCAGTGTAATTTCCTACAAGTTTTCAGTTTTTCATATTTTTTCAGTGCCTTTTCTTTCAAAGGCTGGAAACTCTCACCTTGACCTTCATGTCAATGTCTGTCAGCACCATGAAGAAATCATTATAGGTCATCCCATACTCTTTTCTCAACTCATTGATGAGCTGCTGGTCCACAAGATCTTCATCCTCTATCACTTTCATGGGCTTTTCATTATCTTAATGTGAGACACAGGAGAAATAAAAATAGTTATGGAATCATATAGCACTCTGCCTTTGATTTCACCTTGAAAGAAAGGGGGAAATTCATTTGCCAGAAGCCCTCCTCTTGCTGCAAGGGCAAGATATTCAAAAGCATCAGTATGGCACTATGGCCTTTAACTGTCCAGTTTTTAATCCTCCTATTTTTTGAAAATCAGTCTATCCTAGGGCACATGCACATCATTATTCAACATTTCTACTGCTTTTAAAAAATCTTGGTCGCTTGCTTCTCTGGAATGATATTTTTGTGTTTTTTTTTCAATAGGCTGATGCATGGATATGCATGTAATAATCATTTCACCAGCTTCTGAAAAGCAGCTGCTTCTGAAATAGAAAATAGAAATTCTTCAACGATTTAGGACAGGAGCTGGAAAGCACCATATCCAAATGAAACAGCATAGAGAATTTGGGTCAGTAAAATACAGCTAAAACAGCTTTAGGTTGTCCAGGTTGCTAGATTTGACCTTTCCAGTTTTAAAAAATTACATGGGAGGTTTAGTGATGACAAGAAGCCAGAAACTTTGATGTGTCTTGAATACTGCAGTCCAAGCTCTTCAGCTCCCTCTGTCCTGCTGTGGCACTCCTCGTCCATCTGCTTGCTGATGTTCATTTCCCATTCTAGTACCCTGACAGGAAAAAACTTATTTTTGAGAATAATTTGTACTTACTCATTGGTCTACCAAAATATTGAGAAATGCTAGTGAAGAAAAAGACCTCTGAAGACAAAGATTTGAACCATGTAGCAGACAAGCCTGTGGGGGATACTGAGGTTCCCTACTTCTCATGGAATCAGGCTGTATTTTAGAGCCAAGTCCTGCAAGTGTCTGTGTCACCAGCTCAGCCTCAGCTGTGGCATCTAACACAGCACTATACAACTGCAACAAATGCAGGAACAGGCTCCTCTATGCAACTCTGGGCCTAGAAAACTAACAACAGGCTAAATATCACACACAGTGAAATGTTACCTGTGCACGAATGAGCCTTCTGCAAATGTTATTTGGCCATGCCCTATGACACCACTATGAATATAAATATTCATCTCCTCACTTAGAAATCCCAGCCATGGCTTAGGTGACCTGCCTGATGTCAAACCGAGATGTGGCAGCTGGTTAAGAGCTAGAATCCAGAGGTACAGCTTTCCAGTCCCCTTCTCCACTGTTCCTCACCAGCACAGATGAGATTAATTGATCTGAGTTGAGCGTGCAGCAACAGAAAACATTTGATTCATTATAAAAGAAGGCATTTAAAATAGCTTTCTAGCCTTAAGGAGCATAATGATCTGGTTCAAATTTTGCAGTAGGTCCAATAGAAAACAATACCAAATCTAGATGAAACTTCTGAATTTAAACTTTGGGAAAATGTCTGAATCAGAATCTCACCTTTAGTTTTCACACCTTGAACCCGCTTCTTACAGAAAAAAGCCCAAACCATCAAACACTAAAATTTGGCTATACTAATCAAGCCAGAGATGTAATTTTTATGGTTTTACATGGATATATGCTTTTTTTTGTTTCAGTTTGAGCTGATTTTGGACAAACAGGGCTAATGAGGTCTCTTTCATTCACTAATTCTGAATGTGTTTGAAATGTCAAGTGAAAAGTTTTTTCTGTTGTTGTCATTTTTATCTCAGTCCTAACGTGCAGCACTACAAGTAGATCTCATCATGGTGGGTGCCAGGCCTTCTCACCACAGCCTAAGTACTCTGAACAAAATGTTTCTTTGGAGCTTTTTACTGCCTCTGGTGCTGACAGAGTGAGCCATGAAAAGGCTATGCAGGCAGCAGAAGGGGAGGTAGAATAGAAAGTAATTGTATTATTTAAACTTTCTACAAAGCTCAAGATTTGCTGCTTTTAGCAAAAATGTAAGGTGAACTTCATGTGAGGTTTAACTTACACCCTTCTAAGTCTCCTGCTTTTCTTCAACAAGTTAATTCCTTCTGTGGTAATTCAGCTCTTATAGAAGCTTGTGTGGTCTGGGAAAAGTTTGGGTGTAGGTTAAGTTTGGAACAGGCTGAAAAGTATGGTCTATGTCAGAATGAATATCTGTTTATTAGCCAGACTGAAGCTAAATATAATCCGAAACAGTCCACTGACAGGCAGATGGGTCTAGGAACACAAAAAGTGACCTTGAGTAACCTTGGCCTGATGTGGAAAATCCCATACCACTCCAGATTTGTCTAGGAGGTACACAAATGGACAGTTTGGCAGGATTTGTGGCTCACTGTCATTCAGGGACACAAGACTCTTGGCCCTTCTCTAGGTCCTCTCTCTTTCTCTGAGAGCAGTGAAGGCATGGCTGGAAGCCAGACACAAATCTGGGATCTTCCAGCCTGTTGTATGCCAGACCTGAAATACCATGAAGCTGGCATGGTCCTGAGCTTTCTGTTCCATCACACATCTCTTCCCATGGTCTGGTAAAACCAGATGAATTTCCAAAGGAAAGACATGGTGGATTTATAAGCAAAATTAGCAGCTTTTATACTATTTCTTTGCTAACTTTTCGACACAAAATGCAATGAGATTATTTACATGATGCAAGAGACACCTAAGCTTAAGTGCTTTGCTGCACTGGGACCTGAAGTCTTTGTCCAAACCCAACTATTACAAACGGAAAAGTTCTCACTGACTTTTGTGGGTGCTTCCCCAGGACCTGAACAGTGACACCAGTTGTTTCAAAGCTGCCTAAGAAAGCTGGATGCCCAGTTTCACCTGTTTACATTGGAACTCTCTCTAAAAAGAAAGTGGTACTAAATATGGCTGAATGAGCTACTTTTCAAGTATTTCCTAGTCTGATTTATAGTGCCTCCAAAACCTCCAGCTTCAGTGAGATTAACCTCTTTACAATAATCACCAAGAAGCAGTCACACTGATGCCTTCTGAATTAATATTTGTCTACTAGTAGGGAGGGGAAAATGCACCTGGACTTCTCCTTGGTGTGGAGAATACTCACTTTGTGAACATATCAAAATCAGCTCTCAAGCCTAGGGAAGTTGATCCTGGGAGGGGAAGGAAAGGAAGTTGGAGCAAGGGGTCTAACTAGCACCCTTCTTGCTGATCTGGATGCAGTCAATACATGCCCCTCGGAGTGAAGCTTTTCCCATGACATTATGAGGAGAGCAAAGGCATTAGTAATTTTTCTATGGCAGAGCAGGGACATAATTATGTTGGACTTCAAAATAGAACTAGCTTGGGCCAAATTTTGAATATAATCTTATAGAGCTCCTTTCAGCATTTCCTGACCCAAATCTCCTCTCCTTTATGACAACAGCCAGCTTCTTTAAGCAGAGTTTTCATCATGCTAGCCAGTATCTAGTCAACCATTTGGTTAGACAGTGAGTGTGATATTCAGGGTTTTGGTAGAGCTGAGCCAAATTTCCTCTATTTGTTCCATGACCTCCTCACATTTTTCTGCCTTTTCACTGTTACATAGTTTTACTGGCTTTAAGAATTCTCACAAAGAAAGGAAATTGAAGGTGGTGAAGTTACAGGACTTGAAGCTTAGACATAGAGAACACTGGAGACACTTATGTAAAAAATGGGTGTAATTGTTATAGAAAGAGGAGAAATGGTTTTGGAAGTGCAACTGGACAAATGGTCTTGCTTAGACCTTGACCCAAGCTGGAGAGGTTTTGCCCTTTGCTGTCTGTACTATGCCCATGAGATGGAAATTAATTATTAAAAAAAAAAAAAGAACCTAGCTGGAAGTGGTCAATTTTCATGCTGCTGTTGTTCATGGTGCCAAAAATTGTAATGACTGAGATCTTCCTCGTTGCCATCTTGCAGAAGCTTTCCAGGTATTCATCTCGCTGCTGTACATACATGGTGTTGTCTGCCTTGGGGGTGGTGATCAGCTGGTTGGTGACAGAGACAAAAGAGCTTGTTCAGTATGAGGAATGAAGCAGATGCATATTTTACTGAAGGATAATTAGTCACTGTCTGCAAACTGGCCATTTATTTTATTTTATTTTTTCCATACAGCTGTTGACAGCTCTGTAGTCTTATTTATTTGTGTTTGGAGTGTACCTTTAGGTCCAGGCCTAACCCAAGGTTGTTTAACCAGCCACAGAAAAATCTTAGGAAGCATGGCCAGCTGGTGGCACCAGTGCCTCTGCTGCCTTTCCAAGTGCTGGTAGAAGACATGGCCCTGGATTTTACACAAAAACATGTAATCTCCTATTATCTCTTACCCTGCCAGTCCCACCAGGTCTCCCTCTCAGCCTTTAGTGGTGCCATGAATCTAGGATTCTCCCTGCTGACTCCCAGTGGGACACTGGGAACATGGTAGCTGCTCTGGTCTCATCCCACAGTCCAGGCAGGGCTCCTGGTGGCTTTTCTGGCTGTCAAGAGGTGAGTAAAACCAAGGCTACATGAATACTTATGTAACTGATGTCCATATGATCAGATGTAGAAGTCTTGCTACAGCCCCTGTGACCTCATCCGAAAATTGCTGATTTAGCCTTTGTTTGTTATAATTCACTTTGATTTCTTACCGACTTAAGTTTGCTGAGAAGACATGGCTTTGGGAAGAGCAGGAGGAGGAACAACTACAACAAAAGATAAAAATCTCTACAGTTTATAGCACTGACAAAGCCTCCTAATGATTGCGAATATTGAACTTTTTGGAAGTTTAAAGAACACAAATCAGCTCTTTCAGCAGTGACTGAGATGCAAATATTCTAGGGAAGGTGTGTGTAACAACACGTCAGTGCTCCTGTGCAGCAGCTTCCAGCAGAAGGTGGAGAACAATGCTGCAGCTCTAACAGTGTAATCAACTTAGCTGGCAGCAGCGATCTGCAATCAAGCACCTGCCAGCAATCCCCCAAACACAAAGGGAGCTGGAATCTCGTTCCAAATGTCACAGTTTTAGGTCATAAATAATAACCAGAATCGATCAATAACAATCTTACGCTTTAGTCTGTAACAGGTGCAATCATCTTCTAGCTGTCTTCTTAAGTTTGTAGGGCCCGAAGGCTAATTTTTATGACATTCTCCTTATAAATCCAGTTCATCAATGTACTGAAATGTAAGAGGCACCTCTAGGCTTATAAGATCTGACTCTTATTTATGCAAAGGCCCCCTGGCATGACTACAGCACTGGGACATGAAGGTGGATGAGAGTCAGACACAAAGAGGATTTGATTTCTGGGCTATAGCATATAACCTGTTGCTTTTAAATTGCATATAAATGCTTCAAATGAAAACAAAAGGATGATGAAAAGGATTTGAGGACTGAGATCAAAACCAGACTGTTAGTTTGTGTTGTCTTCCTAGTTTTGGAGGCCTTAAGCAGGAACACACAGTCAAGTCTGAATTTGATCTACTTCATCAAACTTTGTAGAACAAAGTAGGGAATGTTCAAGAGGCAAAACAAACTTCAAGTCAAAGCCTTGTGCCAGGACTGGTTTAACCCAGGCAGCATATACACTGTGTCTGTCTGTATTTGCATGTACATGTGTGGGTGTGCATGTGCATATATGTGCATGTGGGTATAAATGGAGTGTTATATATAATCTGTCAGTCGGCATTTCATCACTGTGGAGGAATAAACAAAGAACTCCAGAGTCACTGAGTCCAGATTTCTCCACATTTGTAAGACTGCAAATAAAAGCCCCACTGTAGAGGGGCTATTTTTTTCAGTTATAGAATTCAACATTCTGAATGTCTGAAATTCACACTGCAAACGGCAAATCTGAAATCTGTAATGATGTGTAGGACTCAAAAACCTGTGTCTGTGTCAAAAGACTTTTGGGAGAGAACTAAATCAGTGTCCTTGGGAGCCAGTCTAGTCAAGCAGCTGAAAGGCAGAAGTCTAGCAAAGCATTGGGGAATAGCTCAGATAGACCCCCTTCTGCAGCAGTGAGGGCTGGTTCTCTAGGGAGGGAGTTTGGAGGCTGAGGAATGACAGAGTACGTCTAGCAGGAAGGACTGACACTATAGGAAGGGATGCAAACAGGCATGTGTGTGGATTCAAAGAAGCTTGAGACGTTCTCTGTTCTCCACATGTGCCAGGTGTGGTGAAGAGATAGTAGAGTTCAGCCACCTCTTTTACTAATGACCACATCAAACGTATTCTCCAAGAAACTTCAGAGCAAACAGGCTGAGGACAGGATTAGATACTGGAAAAAGTGAAGTGCATCACGGCATAATCCTTTATTTTCTGTGAGTTTTGGCCTAACAACCTGAAACTGTACAACAGTTTTCTTGGAGATGCAGCTGAGAGGTGGCCTAGTGTCAGAATGTTCGAATTTAAGACCATCCTTTAATTTCCCAGAACTGTGCTGATGTGAGCTCTGCTTTTGGCTCTTCTTTCAAATTGGCTTTTATTTATCCTGATGCTACACATATTCTTGGAAGCCACAGGCCATTAAGACATATGATCAAATTTCAAAGATCCCAAACTTCTGTGCAGTTTTTCTCTCTAAGATTTTGATTTGGCCAAGTATTTGTTAATAAGTAGCTCATAGGCATTATTGGAAAAATTCAGTGAAGTTAAAGTTTTTCAAATATATGGCTTTTCTCCACTTCCAGCGTGTTGAGTACTACAAGTCTGCTAGCTCTGCACAGCCCCTACAGCTGGAAGAATGGGGAGAGGGAGAAGAAAGTTGCCTTCTGCTCAGGTCTGTGAATCATCAGCAGAATGATTAATTAAATTCCAATGGTTGATATCTTAGCTTGGCATCTTAGCTATTTCTGTTGGAATATGGGGCATCAAAGTCAAAGCTAAGGAGTTTGTGACACCAGCTATTGGATAATAACTATGAAACAGGCCAGCTTGCAGTGGAATAATTATAAGAAACCAGCTCCCATAATAATATTTTTAAAGAACTGTTTTTCAAAGTGTACTTTTCAGGGTATGTGTCATCTGCCAGAAAAAACATTTGTACTACATCTAAAAGTGTTTCCTGTCCCAGGTGAAGTGTTTTTTTAGATAAGTAGTTGGAAAAATGTACAACACTATTAAACCCTTGGACAAGTAACTCCAGACCGTGTTGAGTTTCTCAGGCTTGAAAACTTACCATAGTCTTATGGTTCAATAATATCAGCAGGAGAAAAAAAACAACAACAAAACAAAGTTTGTGTGGAATCTCTGAAGATGTCTAAGAGATTTCAATGCCAAACTCCCCTCAGAAAGAATAGCAAATGTAACAATCCTGACTCAGGGCATCTGATCATATATGCCTTTTGGTATATCCTCAGCCTGACATGCATCAGTGCTGCCAAGCCACCTGGCCTGCTTCCAGTTTTAGGACACCAGCACCAATATAAAACAAGTGTGACAGCTGGCAGGACTTGCTGAGCATCAAAATGTGGTAACATTGATTGGCAAGTACCCCAAAGTGATGAATGGATGTAATCCACACTGACACCCCATTTTATTGATCTTAACTGTATAGATCTTGACACCTACATATCCACCAGAAACAGAAGAATCTGATGGCTGTATATGGTGGCTTAAGGAAGTGACTGGGAAGAGATTTTAGCCTGGCTGTCAGTTCATAGTGCATGTAGGATTTCCAACATGAGGCTGCAAAACCTTCTCTCTTGGAAATGGTCTTTTTGATCTAGAAATTTTACCTCCTAAACATCAGGTACCAGAAAAGAAGAATACAAATCCACCATCAACTTTCTGTTCTGCATATTCCTCCTAGGAGGGAGATATGATTGCATTTAGGTAATGAGATTCAGATGAACGAGTTACTTACGATAAGCCGCCTTTTGCCTTCAAAGTATTCCAGGAGATCAGTCACCGATTTCCTGGGAGGCTGTAGGAAAAGCTTCTTGTTGGGCTTGGGGAAATCCTCATTCTCAGTCCTGCTTCCCTTCTTGTTCTTCTTGCTACGGTCTTTGTCCTGCTTGCTCTTTTTCTCAGCTTTGTCCTTCTTGGACTGCTTCTCACCCTTCTGCAGCTTGTCCTTCTTCTTCTTCTTCTCTGGTTTATCAATTCGGTCATGTTTCTTTGATTCTTTTCCTTTCTTTGGGGGAATATTTCCCACTGCAAACTCTTCCTCTAAGTTGACACTAGCAGGCTTGCTCGAGTCATATTTATGTTCATATTCATTGCTCAGTATCTTTTCTTGGGCCTTCTTTTTTGGTGGTTTAGTCTTACTTGGCTTGTGCTGCCCTGGTGTGACATTCAGGTCCCTGTGGTTATACACCTTTCTGTCTGTTCGGTTATCTTTAAATCTACCCACATTTGCCTTTGTATAGTGCACCGATGGAGCTGTTGGGACTTCTGTGAAGCTGTCATAGCGGGTGGCTTTGTTTGGTTTCCGTGTGGCTGCTGGCTGCTTCTCTGGGTGACCGCGCTGCCGGTCCCTGCGGTTTGCCTTCCACACAGGAGAGTAGAAATCCTCAGAGGTTGTGACTCGGGGTGTGGTGGCATCAGGGGCTACTGACAGCCTGTGGTACTCTGTGGTGGTGTGTGACTTTGGGGTCCAGGTCCTCTGTGTGGTGGGGAGGGATGTAGTTGTTGTCGTAGACCGGCTTGCTGTTGTCATTGCACGGGTGGTGGCACGGGTAGTGGTGGTGGTGGGAGGGAGAGTAGTGGTCCTTACTGTAGGTAGAGGAGTGGCAACTGTGGTTGTTATTGGTTTCCTCACTGATTTGGTCCTTGTTGGCTGATTATTGCTCTTCCTTGGCTCATCCTTCCTTGCTGACACCTGGCCATTTCCACCACCAGGGGTAGGCTGGGTGCTGCCCCCATTATTGTCTTCCTCAACCACTTGTCCCTCTACTCCAGCTGCTTTGCAAGTCTGGATGAAGCCCTTCTGCCTCATCTTCTCAATTTTTCTGATTGGACTCTGATCAATGACTTCATACATGGCCTCTAGCCTGACTGGATAAGGGTACCTTTCCTCCACCTGCAGAGTTTTCTTCAACAGCACCATGCCGAATTTCCCCTTTTCCAGTTTCAGAAAGCTCATGAGCTTAGGGATGAGGGCAGGATCAAGTGGCTGCTCCAAGATTTTTCCTTCATTGGTTATCCTTCTGACTTTTCCCCCTTCTTCCCCTTCTTCGTGGAACAGCACAATCTGCTGGATATGCCTCTCGGCCAGTTCACAGTAAACATCATTTTTCAGCAGGCTCATCATGAGCCGGTAGTAGCCCTCAGAGGCATGGGGGGCAGAAATGACCCACACTCGATTTTTCCCAGCAAAGCTGGCCAGGACATTGGGAGAACTTGACCCCGAAGGGAAACGTACCACCCGCGACTGGGAGGCAGATGATATCCCTTCGTCCTTAATCATCTCGGACTTGGGGAATTTGGCTGCAGCTGTGAGTCTCTGTACCCGTCTCATTCTGGTCCCCATGCCCCTGGCCTGGGAACGGGCTTCCCCTTGTGTGAGATCAGCAGGTGCCTTTGGAGGTGCTGAAGAATCCCTTTTGGTGACAGGGTGTAGGGGATTTGGGGTCATACTCCTCACGGATGCTCCATACCTTCTCAGGAGGCTGCTCGGAGCCCTGTTAGCCAGGGGCACTTTCCTAACTCCATGGCTCCCTCTCTGTGGTAGCCCCCCAGTCTTCTCAGAGCCACACACTAGCCACACTGCCCACAGCAGGGCTAAGCTGAGAGCTGGCCTCCAGTTCATTGTGCAATCTGCTCCAGGGGAGGAGGAGAAAGAGAAAAAGCTGGAAGTTAACACTACAACGATATTTTGTGCAAGTGATTAGAAAACAACAGCACAGGCTGGCTAGATTTTCTGATTTAAAAGTGCTGATTACCCCTCAGTCCTGCCCTGGTGGCTTTGTACAGTTTACAGTTATTTTTGGAAAAGCACAAAACGGATTGTTTTATGCAAAAATGAGATCATCCGTCTGTAATATGACTCTGTCTGTCCAAAAGGACACTGTGATCTGCATCTTTCCCTCTGTCTGTCTCTCACTCCCATACACACATGAAACACACACATAAAGGGTTTGGTACACAGAGCAGAAAGCCAAGAATTTGACTTGAGACTTACGCTCTAAGGGAAGTTCCCCTTCCAGGGACGAGGTTTCACGTCTTTTTCCTTTAAAAGGAGACCGATGCCATACAGCTTCGCTGCTGCCCGGTGATTTATCTTCACGCAGCCCCACAGGTCCCAGAGCCTGTCTGTCTCCCCGTTTCTCTATTAGCTTTCTTCTTCACCTTCTTGACAAGCAGGGTAAGGTTAGCTGTATTTTCCTTTGGGAGCTCCGCTTCTCCATTTACCTGCAGGTCTGGCTTTGTGCTGCACCGGTTACCCACAGAGGCAGGGGTTTCATCTAAGAAAAGGGAACTCCTGGCTGCTCCAAGTCTCTCGCTTTAAAACTTCCCAAGTCTCCTTCCCACTCTTTGCTTCCTCAGTCTCGTTCAGTTCCTTTGTTTCCAGGGAGGAGAGCACTGGCATTAATACATTTTCCAGGCTGGAGAAAAACACCGGAATGTGATGCTGGGGGAAAAAGAAAAAAAAAGAAAAAAAAAGAAGAAAAAAAAAAAAAGGAAAAAAAAAAAAAAAAAGGACCCTTCTCTTTCTCTAGACTTGGACAAAAGCGAATTGCAAAAGACTCGTCTTTTCTTCTCTTGCTCTTCTTGGCTGGCCACGGTCCCAGAAACGTCAGGGTAACCCCAGCCCTGTTCCGAACCAGCCTCAGACAACAGTGGCCACTGGAAATGGGGGAAACTTCACTCAGGATTTAACAGCTCAGCAGAACCCGCCTCCCTCCTCACTCAGGCACAGGGAGGGAGGAGGAGGAGGAAGGCTCGGGGGGCTGAAACTGCACAGCATCACAGAGGCTCAGAGAGGGTGACTCCAGCCTTAACTCTTTCCTTCGCGTGTCCCAGCTCCCTGGTGCTCCCTGGCCTCGGCTTTCCTTTTCCTCCCACGAAACAGACACCATCTGGATAAAAAGTAGTCCTGTGAGAAGTGCGTTTCCCCATCGATGTCAGGAACGGCTCTGCTGTTCAAGTTACGGGTTTTCAGCCCCATGATTTCTGCCTCCTGTTCCCCGTTTCATTGTTTGCTCACTTTCTGAAAGTCTCCCAGTGAAATCAAATTTCACTTTTCAACCAATTTCTTTTTTCACGTCTTCATATCTGTTGCTATAGTCTGTTCTGCAAACGTCATAGGGGCACGGCTGTCTGTCAACTCGTAGTTTTTAAAGAGATCAGGATGTTTACTTTATGACTAGAAAAAATCAGAGCTGCATGGATTTCCCTATTTTTACACTAGCAGTAAAAAAAAAACACAACACAAAAAAACAAACAAACAAAAAAAAACACAACCAAACAAAACCCCAAAACAAACAGAAAAGGTGCAAAAATACCTGAGGATACAAGGGTAAAGACAGGGTCACGTCCTTTGCTCTCCCTCCGTGCTGTAAATGACACCATTCTCTCGAGCTGACGCAAACTGGCGCAGCTTTGCTGCCAGCACCTGGTCCTCAGCCGGTTCTCACCGGCTCTTCAGTGTGTCCTGCACCTTCAGTGTAAAACGGCAGTCAGTCGTAGCTGATGGGTGACACCTAAAAACATCCAAGACCTTAAAACTACTACTGCTTTCCAAGATTCCACTTAGTTACAGAGACACTTCTGTGATAACACACTGCATTTGATCTCAGTTATCTTGGGGGG